TAATTTAAGGCTTAGGTGGAGTTAACTGATAAATCGTTTTAAAGCAGTAATTTTTAGAAAAGTGCATTCCAGTATCGGAGATTCGAGGAAGAGCGACGTCGAAGTGATATGCGTTGTCGCCTTCGCTTCTCTCGTCGATCATTGGTTCTCTTCACTGCTTCCATTTTCGGCTTCTTTATGCTACTCCAGTACGGTGAGCTCGGCGATTTCAGTAACTTCTAGAATACGTTCATGTTTTTTTGATTTCTGAAGCTGTAAATGCAATTTTGTTTCCTTTTTTCTGCACCGTTATGATTATTGAGAATGACTCAATCATCGAGAGGTAAAGGCGAATAATTAAGTTTCGTCCTTTGGATTTTCATTGTTTCAGTCTGTTTAATGGCCATATTTGTTAATATTTTTTTCATCTCCGGGCTATATTTTGTGCTGACCATTGGTCAGCTATTGAGTTGGTCATTACAAATTGCACACCCATCGACAGGTAGCTTTGGCTGTGTGGGTCGCAGCCCCTCTGTCATGACAATACGATAGCACCTTTCTGTTTCTGTTGCTCGCATGCCCACAACTTGCTATCTTTTTTTGACTCGTCGCACCTTGTCATCGTCATCTGAGGTAAAGCAGCAAAGTAACCCAGATTTATGATCTCTGGCCGTCAGTTGTGCGGGTCAAATTTTTTGCTAAAAACGCTCGAACCGCCCAGTCGATGTAAACTGAGCATCGAAGAGTCGTTCGTCCCAAATAGCCAACGGCTCAATGAAACGGCAAACGCTTACCGCCACGCACGTACATCGAAACAGTGCAATGGAAAAAACTGAAATGAATTTTTTGTTCGTTAAAATTAGCAGCTAATAAGAAAATGTACGTTGCGCTGTGGGTTTCATTTTCAGTCCCGCACGTTTAAACTGCAGGACGAACTTCTCACTTGTTCAGCAGCTCACCCCTCCCACCCCCTGTACGAGCCATGTTGCTTTGACAGACTGTTGTTTAAGGAAGATGCTATTCTTCTGGTAGATTGTAACCTCTGTATTTGGTCATGTTTAAAAAAGCATTTACTTTGCCTTCAGTTTTCATCTGTATGCTCTGTCTTATGATCATCAACACCCGGAAAAATACCACTGATCAATATCGAAATTTTTTCGGCTTTTGTCTGACATCGCCGTCAAGTTTATGAATTTTTTAAGATCTGTTCTCGGCTCATTTCCTTGAGGTCTGAGTGTTTAATCGTTAATCCATTAAATTATTGTCTAATAATGTAATTTCACTTCTTTCTGATCCGTGATTTGAGATATTACTGTTTATTAATTGCATTTCACATTTCGAAATTAATAAAGTGACTGGCGATTGAGTGCGAGGCTTTTCAAGGAAGTTCACTACACTAAATGCAATAATCTTTGATTTATTAGGGTTTCTGTATCGAGAAGTAAGCAATGCGAAAAATGATCCGAGCGTTCTTTGGAAAAGAGTGACGAAACTTGAAGCTCTTCTCTCGTTTTGCCGTAAAACCTTGGCCTCACACGATGTCGATTGTCAACAACGAAACATAGTCATCAGAGCGCGAGGCATGGAGGCAGGTGATGACCAAACGGCGACGATTTTCATAATAACGCCGACGTACAAGAGAGAGACCCAAATTCCCGACCTGGTTAGGTTGTCGCATACCCTCATGTTGGTACCGAACGTTTTTTGGATTTTGATCGAAGACGCGGAAAAGCCTTCGAAATCGGTTGCCAAGCTTCTGTCCACTTCTGCCGTACCGGGCATTGTCCTCAACGTAGCTACGCCCCCAAAGTACAAGTTGAACGCTTCTAGTCCCCACTGGCTGCTGCCTAAAGGAGCGGCTCAGAGAAACCTTGCCTTGACATGGCTGAGGAACAACTCCCCAAAGCTTGGTCATGGGGTGGTATATTTCGCCGACGACGACAATACTTACAGTCTGAAGCTGTTCTCCGAGGTGATTTGACTTACAGTCCATAGTTTGATGAATGATTTGCAGATCCGTAGTGTGCGGAAAGTTGGAGTTTGGCCAGTCGGGCTCGCAGGCGGACAGTTGGTCGAACGGCCCATTGTGGAGAAGGGCAAGATCGTCCGATGGTTGGTGTCGTTTAAACCTGAAAGACCTTTCGCAATCGACATGGCTGGGTTCGCCGTCAACTTAAGGTATTAGTCCAACACTATTTTTTGTCGCGTATATTTGTGACACTTTTTCTCAGCCTGATTTTGCAACACACGCACGCTGAGTTCAAATACGAGGTAGCCCGGGGCTACCAAGAGACTCAGTTTCTGTCTAGCCTTATCACGGTGGATGATTTGGAACCGAAGGCTGATAACTGTACCAGGGTAAACTTACTGGTTTATTGCCAAACTTGTCATATTTGTTTATTATGATTTATTATTTATCATGATTCATTTTGTTATATTCTTGTTTTCCTATAACAGTTATTTTAGGTTTACGTATGGCACACTAGAGACAGTCCTCCGAAACTGAAAGGCGAATGGGCGCTGAAAAAACAGCTTGGCATAAGTTCAGATTATGGCATGGAGGAATACTGACCGCAGCGTTCCATCGTTTGTGCATTTGTTTGTTACTTCCGCGATAGTTTTCCCTGAAATTCAAGTAACAAGTTCAAGAAATTTAACCGTTTAGCGGTGCATAATCGAGAACGCATGGGAGGCTCAGTCGAATTTATAAAACTTACACCATTAAGCAAACCGATGACGTTCTTTAACAAGTTTCGTAACTGACATGTCCTATATGTCGCTGTCGGCATTTCGTCGACATAGTGATTCAAACAATGTTTGCTGAGAGCTCCGTTGAAGAGAGGAGAAATGAGCAGTAAGATTTAGGGCAAACCGTTTTCAGTGCATCGTTGAGGGTCCCAAACCCGGCTTATAAACAATGAGAGTTAGAGTCCGTGACAAAGTCTCCGTGAAACTTAGCCACTTACCCTTCATGGTATTGGCGTCATTGAACGTTATACGGGCTCGGTCGGCTGCCGAAGATTGACGGAACGACGATGATGATTCCTGTCAGCAACGGTGCCGCCGTCTGTTCTAAACGGAGGAAGTAGCGCGATGCCGTTATGGTACGTCTGGGAAAACTCTACGTGAATGACGCCGCCAGTGGCACCTTAACGTTGGAGATTGGAATGTATCCTCATTCAGAGGGAAAGGGTAGGAATTAGTTGATGAGACTATATAATCCCAACTCTACATAGTTGGAATGTCGCCGTCGAAGCGCCAAAGTTCTGGAATCTTGACTCTCTGCGGATGAAAGCTTTTCTACTCAAGTGTCGACGTCGCGACGCTCGTTCAGGCCGGTGTTGATGTTCCGGTAGAACCTAACTTGGCTGATAGAACCATTGAATGGAAGGTTGTCAGAAAACAGTGATCATTCTCTAATTGAAGCTACAAGCGGATAAAGCGTTCACCTTATTGCGGAACTTTGCGCCCAGTTGTGAATTAGAATTGTTCCTTGAGGGCGTAGAGTGTGCGAAGCGCCGACTACGTAGTCTCTCATTCTCATAAGCGATTTTAATGCGATTATCATAACAGACTGCGAAAAGTGGATAGACGTAATTGGAATAAACAACCGTAGCGTATTCAGTTGTAACGGCATGAAGTAGTATCGCTCTTGTGCAAATACGCACTGTCTGATGTTAGCACCTTCGAGCATGGAAGCGTGCATAAATATACCTGGTATAGGGAAGCTTGCGCAGGAGTTGATGATCGATTTAATAACTGTATTATAGTTTACACTGTAATGGATATTCGAATTAAAGAGGCACAGATTTGTCAACCGATCACAATCTTGTTGTTGGCACGTTACGCTCTGTGAACTGCAGTGCTATGCGACGACCTGATGGCAGAAGCAGCCGGATAATCAAAGCAAAAACGTTCTCTTCAGCGGATACGACAACGAAACTTTTAAACAACATCGTACGATGATTTCAACAGATTTTTCAATGATCACCGCTGCTGTGAAAATCGAGTGGGAGCTGCATACTCAGGGCGGCCTGCCAATGCGGCGAATTCTAACGCGTTGGTCTGCCGCCTAGATGTGAGAAAAGAACTTCCTGGTGGGCAAGAAGGGTACAACTGCCATTCAAAGAGAAGATGGCTGCATTCAATAGATGGCTTGGAAGCAGAGAGCCTTCATCTCGAGTACAGAAGCGCTAAACTGCAGCAGAAGCAGTAGCGTATGCAAACGCTGATTCTTCGGGGTAGTTCGGTGACGTATAGGAATCGAATTTCCAGACGTCAGTGAAAGTATCCTAGCTGACCATTCGCCTGCTCCGTGGAGAAAAGAGGGCAGTCTAAGAGTCTTGAAGTACAGATCTCGTCACAGCCTTACGAAGGATGGCGATACACTTCGACAGTCGAGAGTACTTTCAGGGATTCCTTAACCCTGGGCAGTCGCAGAAAAACTCGCAATTTCTACAGTAGGGAATAATTATTAGCGTTTCTGTATATGAAATCACACAAACACAAACTGTGAAAAGTTTGAATTGTGAAAATACTCCTGAAATGCTTAAAGGACTACTCGAATAGGCCATGTGTTGGCGTGCACGTGTTACTCAGTCTGCAGTCAGGAAGATTCCAGCGTACTGGAAAACAGAGTTTGTAGTACCGCTGTTCAAGAGGATAAACTACGGGAGTCTTGCAGTTACCGGTGCATCATCTTATTGGGCTTCCAGGGTAAAAGTTACGCAAAGATGCTAACGTTGTCGTGGACTTACTGTCTCCAAGATAAAAGGCCAGTGTTGCTTTCGTCCCGGCTTAAGTGTACTCATCAGATATTGGCCGTACGCCACATTGTTGAGAAATTTTTGGGAATTCATCCATCCGGTGACATGTGCTTTGTTGACCGAGAGAAATCCCATGGCCGGATCCAGCGCAACAGTTTCTGGACATGCCTGCAAACATAGGTGATCGATGAATAGTTGCTACGGAC